TCTAAAGTTTCTTTGACTCTCTCTGGAAGATTTTTTGTATAAAAAGTGATATTTACTCAGCTGAATGGTGGGCCTTCCATATTATCCTATGTGTAGGTTTCACTAAGAACATGAAAATACCCTAGTAATCAGGAAATACATGCATTACAAGAGAGGCTATCTACAAGAAGTGAAGAAGGCAAATATTATCAAAGGAGGGAGAGGTCCTGCACATCTTAAAAATAATCAACAGACATTCCAGTGTGTGAATCAATGATAGTCAGTTAAATAAGGAAATCTGAACTGGAAAAGGATTTTTTTGGGGGGCCGGGGAGATGAAAAAAAAATTTCCTATTTAAAAGTTTGTTTCTAACAGGCTGTGATACAGTGCCAACAGAACTGGTCATTTACAGTCAGTCTGTTTGGTGAAATGTTAAAGTAATTATTTGATGCCATAACACTTCCTGCCTCTCCCATCTTTGACCCCCTTCCCTAAAAAAATTTAAGATGTCCAGGACAGCTATCTTGTCAAAGAGTTTAAATCCAGATCTAATTTAATCTTGCAGCACCCAAAAGAAGAGCTTAAATGATAGTGAAATGGCAGGATCCCTCAAATGTTCAGGGGTAGATTTTCCTCCCCTGCTTCTAGTTGTACAAATGGCCGTTTGCCACTCATTGCATTTTGGGCTTCATATGATGTATCCTAATTGCTACAATTAGCAAAATTAAATGGCTCATTGTGTTTTTATAAAATTCCACCCACATTTTGCACATTTTTTACTATAGAATCAGTAATTACAACGTAGACTCTGTTAGTTCAAAGACACATGGTGTGATTATTTCCATCATGCATCCCCTCTTAGGCAACTCAATCTAGCAATGAACTCATGTAAATGGAAAGGGTGGTAGGGCTGTGCTGGGAAAACAATGTTGAATTTGGAATTTGGTTCAAAACCTGTTTTTACCACCTGTGTGAAATCAGGAAAATCACTTAACATTTTCTATAAAATGAGGTGGTTGAATTAGGTGACTTCTAAGGTCCCTTCCAAATATAAATCTGTGGTTCAAAAATCAACTAAATCCAAACACCCAACTGGATCCTATAGTAGATAGACCCATCATTTTTGTTATCTTTGTAAGTAGACATGTTGCTGTCATTAAGTTGAACAGCTTGTATCCATCATTAAAATGATAGAAATGATTAGTGACTGGTTGTGATCATTCTGTATCATAAATATCATCCAAGTCAGAATTGTCAAACTCCTGGCCCCTCCTGATTGTCCCTGGAACCAGGTTAAAACATAGCTGGGAAATGTTTAACCAAAAAAAAAATATATGTATATACACACACACACACACACACACACACACACACACACACACACACACATATATATATAATAAATAAATAAAATACCACAGAGATAACGTTAACATGTGGTTTTAAAAGTTAATATACAGGGGGCAGCTAGGTGGCACAGTGGATAGAGCACCAGCCCTGAAGTCAGGAGGACCTGAGTTCAAATCTGGCCTCAGACCAAACACTTGACACTTACTAGCTGTGTGACCCTGGGCGAGTCACTTAACCCCAATTGCCTAAAAAAAAAAAGTTAATATACAGCCCACAGGAATCCATATCGGTTTGAGTTTGACAACACTGCTCTAAGTTACCTCTCTGAAGGAAAAAGTCAGGTGATATTGTTTTAGAAGCTTTTTAAGGAATTTTCCATACAGACTCAAAAATACCAATGTTTTATGTAGAAATGGTAAAAAAAAACCAGATGGCAGATATGAAAACACATATATTATGATATGATGACATATAATAAGAAGATACTTTACTAGAAAGAGCCCCCAAATTCTTGTACAAATAGTAGTAGCAACATTACCTACAGAACAATGAGACATTCTTATGTGTCTCGGCACAAACAAACAACAGGGCCCCACCAGTTCCAGTTTAGGCCTCCAGGAGGTTTTCTTCCAATAACTCTGTCTTCAGAGAAGTCTTTCTTCTACCTGTGTAGAACGGCACGTGGCTGTTTAAAAGACACGCTCCTTCAAGAGACCTCTGATAAAGCTCCCTCAAGCAAAAACCTTTCTCTGATGGCTCCAGGCATTTCCAGTTCATGAGAATTATGAAGTGTACCCATGGATTGCATTTTGGGGCTGAGGCAGAAAAAGGGAACAAGGAAATGGATTGGATGAAACACCATGGATTGAAGGAAAGAAGTGACATGCACCTAAGGCTATAAGCTTTGAAGTGTACTGCACATTTTGTTCCTTTCCTCTTTGTTATTTTATTTAAGAAAGACTTTTTTTTTTCTATTTTAAAAGCAATAACCAAGTTTTCATTTCCCTGTTCATTTGCAATGGTTCAGCATTGGTAAACACATATGGTAAGCTGATCATAATTAAACTTAAAGTATTGGCATAAATTTATCAATGATGATAATAACAATAAGTCTAGCACAATAATAATTTTTTGTACCATGTTTGCTTTGCCAACATTTGGACTCAGTACTTGTAGTAAGCTAGGAAAACATTTATTTCATATGGTTGCTGAACAGCATTATCAATGACAAATATTCACTGAATGCCTAGAGAGTCATATTAGACATTCCATATTAAGGACAAATCACAATGCATGAAGATAGTTTAAAGAACACTATCATATTTGGGACTTAACATTTAGGAGAAAAACCCCCAAATTTCTCTGCTTTTGCATTTAAAAAGTTGACAGACTTTTGGCTAGAGTTAAGACTTAGTGTATAGTCATTACATTTTCAATTGGGAATTAACGTGTTTCATTTCGTCAATAATGCAAAACTTCATAACAACTTTTCATCAAAGGATTTCATCATGTTCCATAAACGAGCACTATGTAGAACCCTCCTTTGATGAGAGGAACAAAGGAATACAGGTGAGCCCAAAGCATTAGGAGTTCAGAGATCACTGATAAAGATGCTAGCTTTCTAGACACTTTCAAGCTAGTGTTCAAGTCTTATGCATTACGTATTACCCCCTTCCTGGATTTTCAAGAACTTTCTTTTAGGAAATTACTGAAGATTGAAAATGAATTATTGAAAGGAAATAATATAGTTACACAAATCATATTTTGCACCTTTGTAATGTGACAAAGATCTCTTTAAACCCAAATACAGTAGACTCTCTGTTATCCAACATTCTATTAATGAACATTTCCATATCAGCGCTGACCCTGGACATCAAAAAGTTTAAATTACATTAATATAGTTTTAGTTCTAATTGCATCGTATTTGAAATCTTCAAAAAGTAGTGATGTGGTTTATCTGGAAACTTAATTGCCATAATAATATAATAATATTATGACAACAATTAATTCTCAAAATAATATATATTTACAGTTAGAATAGGGCATCCTGTTCTCAAACCATGATGGAAAGCAAAGAACCTACCATATTTAATAATCCATGAAAAAAGTCTTTTTCTGTAATTATAGCTTCTTCATCTATCCAATCAATTACTTTCCAGTTAAATAATATTCTTTTTTATATAACAGCATTGTCATTTTGTTCTTATCAATAGGTGAGGTAAGAGTCTGCTGAGAGTCACCTGTGACACTGTGTGACCTCTGGCAAGCCACTTAACCTCCTTAGATCTCAATTTCCCTGACTATAAAATAACTATTGGACAAGATGGTCTCTGAGGTCCTATCTAGCACAAGATTCATGTTCCTACATCCCTTTGACATGAACACTTGAATAAGAAATGATTGTGTCTGTTGTGGTCTGTGATGATTAGCACAGTCATATCTTATCCTGACAGTTATTCATGACATCAGAAATACAGTAGATTTGATTGGACTAAAATGCTGGATTTTAAAAATTTACTACTTTCATATTTTGGGTAGAAAAATGACTCATTCTTCAAGCTGAATTTACTCACATTAAAATTTAGTGTTTGAAATTCCCAGAGGGGACACATCAGCTGAAATGCTAATTTTATCTTAAAATATTATAGAAATGACTGTCTGGGGTGGAAAACTTATCCCTAAGTGTTTACCAGCTACTGGAAAGCAGCATCTTCCTGGATTTTCCCTGGTAAGCCCAGTTGACTCGTTACACCTGCATGTAATTGTTATTCTCTAACAGAGCTATTTCTTGGAGGAGCAAGTCCTGTAGTACTAGGAAAAGATGAAATTTTATTGATAAAAATTGTTTATTATTAAAAATGGCTTTTGGATTAAATACAAAAAACCCTGGTCTGGTAGGAACCCTGTCACTTTATTTTGTGAGCATCATTGTAGGGATAACAGTCACTGCATTACATACCTATTGGCAAAGGTTAAAATACTGACATTACCAGTGATTGGTTGTGGACAGACTGAAGCTACCTGCATAACTGTTTGGTCATTTAAAAGGGATTTTGGGTCAAACAGATATATCAAATTAACAAGGCCAATTTTTTAAAGAAAGAAAATTAATCAATTATTTAGCTGAAATCAAATTAGTCCAATTAAAATGAAATATGAATGTTGAAAATTAACATATTTTCTGCTATGGTCTCCTTTTTTGTAGTCTGAAGACCAGTGTTCAAAACCTGGCTTACTGCTTATTATCTGTATGACCTTGGGTAAATCACTTCACTTTTTTGATCCTTAGTTTCCAAAATGAAGACATTGGCTTAGATGACTTGTAAGATCCCTTCCAGCTCGAAATTTATGAACTGGATGGAAATAGCCAATGAAAAATGGTTTCCTTGGAAAGCTTCTAGTTCTTGGAAAACTATTTTTAGTTTGGTTCTGATTTCTTCTTCACCTGATATTTGGAAAACAAACAAACAAACAAACAAACAAACAAACCAACCAACCAACCAACCAACCCATAGCCAGACTCTTGGAACTCCAGTGCTACAAAGCAAGGTGACCTTATAGGAGAAATATATCTTTTTACATCTGGAGAGCAAGCTAATGGGATATGTGGACCCCTTTCTAACTTCCCAAATAACTAAAGAGCATGGGATACTTTAAAAGAGTCCAGGTCTATAAAAAGGAAACATCTTCTATATGTAACATACATTTTTCATTACAAAAATATCGAAATAATCCATGAGTTATTCCACTCTGCACCAGCTATAAAAAAAAATACTATTAAAATTTGACCTGCACCTTTAATGCAACCAAAAGCACCATGAGGGAGGACATTTCCAACAGAAAAAAAGGAGAACATTTACTTGCTGTAGGGAGGTATTTAAAACCCGGAATCTTATTTTTTTGTACAAACAATTCAAACATATTATTAGCTAGATAAAGAGACAAGCCTTCCAGAAGTTCGAAAGGGCTTTTCCCATCACTTATTTCATTGGTTTTGTCTGCTCATACTTACTAATGAGTGGCCCAAAGCCTCTAAAAGACACATCACTTTCAACTTGGGTTGGGGGAAAAGATAAACCAAACTGTCTGTACATGTGGAGAACTTGATTGTTCTTCCTTGCTTCCTCTTTCCGTAGGGCTCGTGCTACTCGGGTTCTGTCCCTTGGGCATTAGTATCAATCTCATAGTTCGACAATGTTTGGCACTAGAAGGGTATGGCATGTCATACTCTCATCGCACTGCACCTGCATACATTCACACACAGAGCCATGCATTCTGCGTCCTGAAACAAATTCAAGTTATGGCATTTTAATCTCCAGATGCTTGTCCCCTTACAATGCAAAAACATGGTCTCCAGAAGTATGGAAAACCCATGCTTTGATTTTGCCATTTTTTCCTGCCTTCCTTCTTTTTATTCTCTCTCTTACTCTTTTTTTTTTTTGCAATTAAATACTGAATCATGATTATCATTTAATTTACATCACTAAGTTCTTAGAGCTCCTTGGTCTTGTTGAAAGCCACAAATGTGCTGCATAGGATTTCTGTCAAAAAGGATGCTGTCAACTGAAAATCTTAATGAAAATAAACCCTGAATTTCATAGAAAACTAACCATTCCATCAATATCAAACTTGTTCAAGTGTACTTTCATTTGCTGTCCACTGATAGGCTGACACACATGGTAGTTCTGTTTTTTTTTTTCAAATGAGAAAATATTTACCAATTTTAAAAAAAAAGAACATTTCTTTTTCTGGAGTCTTGAGGAAATATATTTTCTCATTCTGTTCCTGTGAAAAACAGAGCTTTATATTGACAAATTACCTAAGCCATTTTGACAGAAGATTGGAGTGTGTGTGTGTGTGTGTGTGTATATGTGTGTAGTGGGTGTATAGTGTGTGTTGTATGTATGTGTGTGTGTTACATAGGTCATGATTGAATATGTCTTTATGCAAAGATCAGGTAAACCCATTAAAATGCCCTATTAGTTGGAGGCAGCATGTACACATTAGACTCTTCCTGTAGTTTTGATTGAAAGCTCTGTGCAGGAGTTTGATAGGAATAAGGAGTCAAGAGCTGGGGATCTGCTCCCCAGCTGAAGGAACTGAGACTCTCAGGGACTGCTTTTCTGAAAATGGTATAACAGCCACCAGTCTGCAGCCTGTGGATCAAATGATAATCATGATGACAGCCAGACTAAGACCTTTACAACTCCTTGCTCTACTCTACAATAGAGTATAGTTATTGCCACAGCCCCGCTGTCAACCCTTAATCTGGACTGTAACGTCATGGCTCCTTCAAGACTTTCAGTTTTCTATAAAGTAGTTTCGTACTCCAGCCGCTCCTGAATAAGAGCATCGTCTTTGTACTGTAGCCTTGGAGGAGCAGGGGAACATTCAAAAGCTAATATGGCCTTCCGTAGGCTTCTGTCCAACACGTGTCTCTCCCAGGCTGGGTATCTATTCCTGAACAGGTCAATTTTAATGACTGACTCTTCAATCCTTGGTGGTCGGGAGGATGGGGTGGAAGGGGCAGTTGGTCTCACCTGAAAGACAGGCACACACCCATCCCGCTCTGCAAACTTCTGATCCCGGTCACTGGCAACACTGCGGTTATTGGAAATGGACCTTAGAGTGCTTGTGGCCACTTCTGTGGGCAGAGTGAAGGCTGCTACTGGGTCCTCACAAGCACAGCTTGGTGACTGCCCAAAACGGGGTCCATTGGGGTGAAAGAAGGCATAATACATTAGCATAAAAACAATGCCTGTTAAAAAGCTGCTGAATACCACACACAGTGCTGGTATGGCAAATGCATCTGCAATTTGGGGAGCCTTGTATAGGTACCAGAGGGCACTCAAGGCAGTATTTTCCAAAAGAATCACAAAATAGTAAATGAAGAGACGGCAACGTGTCCTGCCTTCCTTCACATTGAACCAGCTAAAGATATAGATGATCCCAACCACCATGTCGAAAACAATCTCCTCCCATTTTGTGATGCAGAATTCTGTCTCACAGTGGACGATCCAGAAGGTCATGATGCACCAGTGAAGGACATGAAGATCCCAAAGTAGAGCTGGAAAACAGAGGCAAAGAGGGCAAAGGTGATGACCCTGGCGGCAATGGTGAAGAAATGCCAGCAAAATTGGATGATGACGGCCATGTAGCTGATGGGTTTCTTGTCATCACGGGAGTCCCGAAGGGCTTTCTGGTATGAGGCCAAGGCCCAAGCCAAGGACACGAGGGAGGCCGCAGCAGTGAGACCTGGAAAAACAAACAGGACAGGGATTTAAAGAATGGAACATGAACTGAGTGGTGGGAGTTAACAAAGCCTCTTCAGAAGCATGCCAGACTGGAATTTGGAAGAATAGAATTTGGACCTGCTGCAGCCTAGCTAGGATTTGTGGACTCCTCTGTTGTGCCAGCTTTTCTAAAAGGTTGATGATATCTTCTTTCTCTGTTCCTGTCTCCCAGAGATGTCATGAAGTGGAATGCTAAATGAGGATAAGAGGGAGAACCTTCCAGGCATAGAGAACAACACAAATAAAGACGCAGAGTGGGAACAAATTGCAGTCCAGTTGACTGGAGGAGAGAACACAAGAAAAGAAGTAATATGAAATTATCCTGGAATGCAAGGCTGGGACCAGATTGTAGAGGGTTTGTATTTCCGGGCAGAAAGCTCCTAATGAAAATAGCTAGCAATTATGCAGCATTTTAAGGTTCACAAAACACTCTACACAAGTTAGCTCATTTGATCCTAAAAGAAAATGCTAACTAGGGTCTACACAGCACAGAGAAAAGTGGGAATAGTGTGAAGAGAATTTTCCCTCCCTTTTCCAACCCATACTCCACTCTGTTTCTAAAGTGATTTTCCTCAAGTTTGGGTTTGAACATGTCACTCACCTGATCAATACATTCGAGTAGCTCCCTCTTAACTCCTCTGCAAGCCTTCTTAGACTTAACTCTTCTCTCTGTACTCTAGGATCCAATTAGAATGGATGGCTTACCTTTCTTTCTATGCAATACTTCATGTCTCATCTCCTCGCCTTTGTATGGGCTGTCCTTACAAGTCTGAAACAATCTCCCTACTCCCCTCTGTTTCTTAGATTCCCTGCCTTCCTCCAAGACTCAGCTAAAGTCTCACCTTCTGCAGGAGATCTTTCCTGATGGTCCTTCTCCTGACCGCAACCCTTGCCCTACTCGTGTCTCTAATCCATATCTGGCACTTCCCTTTTTTCTATTCCTTCATCATTTTTGTTGATCTCCGCTGGTGAAGCCAATCTTTAATCCAATGGATCTTTCATTAGAAGCTGCCTCACTGACCCCTTGACCCAGAATATATGATGTTACTTGAAATATATATATTTTTAAACATAGCTTGTTTTCTTGAATGGCAAAATGCTTTTATGTTTTTCCTTGTATAGATGGCTGCTCAGTTGTAAAACCAGATTTTGAGTGTCACCAGGTCTGGGGCTCACAGGAGTTACAATACATTCCCTCTTTTCACAAATAGTAGCAACCCTTAGTGACAACTCATATACCTCATGATGGAATGAAGGCTTTAAAAACATCTCTAGATAATAAAAAATTGTTGCCTGTAATCCTAAAAAAATGAATTTTAAAATAAATGGTTCCTGTGGGAATCATGCTATTTGAGAGAGAGAGAAAAAAAGATAAAACAAAACAAAACAATTCTTGAAGATCATTCAGAGTACTTCTTTTATTTGGAAACCTTGAGTAAGTAAAATTGCCTGAATAATAGTTACTAACAAAGGACATACTTTCCAACAGCATCTCCCCAAACCCATCCTCAACAAGCCCATTTTTTCCTGCTCTTCCCCCTGCAAAAATCTTATCACAAAATCTTCAGTTTCTTTCTGTCAATTGCAAAATCATTCAAAACAGTGTCTTCCCAGACTTTTAGGAAAATATTTATAGGTCAACTTTTTAGTCAAAGAGTAGTATGCAAAATAGGCAAGCAGTTGGATGTAAATTAATTTCTAGAAGGTGGAAAATATCCAAAGCTTTTAGAAAATATGCGTAGATACAAAAAAGCAAAAAAGAAGAGAAAAAGTAAAATAGAGCAGAGAGGGCAGAAAGTGGGAAAAAATGATAAGGAAAATAAATGCTCAGGTTTGCAGAGCACTATAAATTTGTTGTCTCATTTGGTTTTCCTAACAACCTTGTGAGACAGATGCTAATATTATCCCATTTTGCATGTGGGAAAACTGAGGCTCAGCAATTGACTTGTCAAAGGTCATGCAAGTAGTGAATGGGTTTGAACACAGATCTTCCTGACTCTGGGTCCACTGTAGCAGAAGATGAAGATGCTTAAGTAAAGCACAAGTGAGAAAAAGGTGAGTGACAGAGAGTAATGTGTTTTGTTTTAATGTCATCAAAGAATTCATAGATGTCACATAAAGATCATTGGTTGGAACATATTTCCTATTGCTCAAAAACCTTCAGTGGCTCCCTTTTGCCTCTGGAATAAGTGTTAAGCACTTTAGTGCTGGCATCACAGGTCCTCTACTATCTGGTGCTACCCCAGCTTTCCTGTCTTATTAGTCCCTTCCTTGTACTCTATGCTCCAGTCAAACTGAATTGCTCTATGCATGACTCTCTAAAAAGGGACCCTCACCTGTGTCTGTTGAATTCCAATCCATCTTTTAGAACTCAATTCAAATGCTGTTTCCTCCTTGATGTTTGCCTTGTCCTATCCAATTTTTTCTCCCCTCTCATGATGGCATTGACCTTTCACCTCCGATATCATAAAACATTTGATTGTAGATCTTTAATGTACTCATTGCATAATATTATATTATCTGTTATTAGACTGTAAACTGCATGAGGGTAGGGACTATGTCATATCTAAACTTTCTATCATCTCTCACAACTAATACAGTCCTCCAAACATAATGGGTGTTTATTAAATAAATGTTTGTTGTTTTCAGATGCATTTCAATCTGTATATGTATGTAGTGTGATAACTAATGTACTATGATTCATAAACTGGCAGATAGATTATGTCCCCACTTCTATTCTTTTCTTAAATCTAGTAGTCTGAGAAAACAAACTTGGGTTTACTGGTCTTGTCAGGGGCTATTAGGACATCTACAGAGTGTTTTTTGTGGGAATAGGAAAAATATGCTTGTGTTTACTCTTTGTTACCTGAGTTCTCAAAAAGCAGAAAACCATAACCCTTTTGGCATGCTAAGCAATTAACTACAGTTGTGCTATAAGAAATGATGAGCTCAATGATCTTAGAAAAGCATGAAATAATGAAGAGCAAAATGAACAGAACCAAGATAACATTGTAAACAGTAACAGCAATATTGTTTTAAGAATGACTTTGAGTGAATAAATTATTTTGACTATTGTAAATACACAAATTAACTATAAAGGACATATGAAGAAAGATGCCATCTGAATCTAGAAAAAGAACTGATAGGTAGAAGTATGTATAGAATAATTTTACACACACATACACATATACATAAAACATGTATATATGTGTATATATATATGTATGTATGTGTATGTATAATACATATATCTATGTCTAATCTATATAGATATACATATACCTATTTGTGTCTAATGGTGGCCATCTCTAGGGCAGGGAGAAGGAGGGAAGACAAAAAAAGAAAAAAAGAAGTTTACAAAATAACTTTGTGGTGTATTTAAAATGAATAGCAAGTTATATATAATAGTTTTGTAGATTCATGTGCAATCATTTTTAAAGATTATACTATGTTGGGGGCAGTTAGGTGACGCAGTGGATAGAGCACCAGCCCTGAAGTCAGGAGGACCTCAGTTCGAATCTGGCCTCAGACCAAACACTTGACACTCACTAGCTATGTGACCCTGGGCAAGTCACTTAACCCCAATTGCCTAGAAATAAAAAAAAATTTAAAAAAGATTATACTATGTTATAGAAATGCTGGTTTTATTCCATAAATTAAAAATAAAATACTCAAAAATTGGGGTGCATCTGGAATTGTTATTTGAACAGTGCAGGGATTCCTGATGCATAAATTTCTTCCATTGATGCAGTTTGGTGATCCTTCTGTAAATGGCAGTCTTATAGAGTTGTCTAGTACCTCGAGAGGTTAAGCAGACTTGGATGTGGTTGCAGAGCTAGGATGTGTCAGAGGCAGGATTTGAGTGGCCATCTTCTCCGTCTTCTTGATCTGAGACTGTCTTTCTGTTTGCTACACTAGGCTACCTCTCACTTATATTTAATACAGTTGCTAATTATTGATGTATATAGATACTGTGACATAGAGGATGGAAAGTTGGTCTTGGAATCAGAAAGACTTGAGATTGTCTTGCTGCTGGTTCATACTAGCTGAGTGACTATGGTCAAGCCACTTAATCTCTTAGTGACCTAGGAAACAACCCAAGACTGTATGTTAGAGAAGTTGTAGATGTTCATTGGTACAGAGGAAATTTCCATAGTGGGTCTCCCCATACTAATAAAATCATCTCCCTATTTTTAGTAGGTTGCTGAGTCTACTCGTACATACACCAAAATAATTATATCTACATATATGTTTCTTTTTTTTCCTTTGAATTGAACTGAAAACCTCATAATGTGCAACTTTTAAACAGACTAGTACTTCAAATGCAATACGAAAACAAAGTGAGGACCTGAAATATATATATTAAAATGATTTTCTGGAAATTCATTGTGGTTTACCATTTCTATTAAATAAATAACCACATGCTTAAAAAGAACCTTGAGAAATCATATCATGACTGTCCAATTCAATTGGAAGTCACTATGATCCACGGAAACAGTGAGCCTTGCAGATTCCCACAGGATATTTTAGTAGAGTGGGTGAGTTGCTTGTTTTTCTCTTGTTAAGCCATGACAGTTAAAGGAGCTCAAATCCCAAATAAACTAAGTCAGCCAAACTAGCCAGAGAATGCTTGTTCCAAGATACAGCCTCATGGAAATTTACCTTTCATTTACTGGGAGTCCTGTCAGTCATTTTTGAATGTGGCATCACAGCGTTAGTCAGAGTGAGTCCCTATCTTTGAGACTGTCTTGTGAAACACAGTTGCTGATTTGAATGTCTCCTTTCTATTCTGTATATATCTTGTATGAATCTAGTTACTTATATGTTGTCTCTAGCATCATCTTCTTTGAAGGGAGGGTCTGCTTGCTTTTCTCTTTGATTCTCTAGTATTTAGCATAGTACCTGGTACATAATAAGTATGTGCTTAATAAATATTTTTTGATTGATTGATACATATGCTCA